AGTCCAGGCGCGCCGCGGCTGTCCCACTGCTGGCGTGCTCCGAGGCTTTGCTCCCCATCTCCCTGGTCTGCTGGTCAGACCAGGGAGACGGAGAGCAAAGCCGCGGAGCACGCCCGCAGGGAGACAGCTCAAGCGCGCCCGGGCTGTCCCGCTGCGGGCGTGCTCCAAGGCTTTGCTCCCCGTCTCCCTGCAGATCAGGGAGACAGAGAGCAAAGACGCAGAGCACGCCTGTAGGGGGACAACTCAAGTGCGCCCGGGCTGTCCCGGTGCGGGTGTGCTCCGCGGCTTTGCTCCTGTCCCCCTGGTCTGCAGGGGGGTTCCAGTGGCTTTGCTGGACCCCCCAGCCGACCAGGGAGACCGGGAGAAGCTTTTCTCACCCCGGAGGACACGGGTGGCGACTCGCCGCCCGTGAGCTCCAGGGCGAGAAAAGCCCCGTTCGTAAGTGCGGATCCGACATAAGTCGGATCCGCGTAAGTTGGGGACTGCCTGTAATAGTAAAACTCAAGTTTTTAATATTGGTAGTTTTGTAGTGTGAGGCAGTTGGTCTCCCATTTCTATTTTGAGTTAAAGATGATTAGTACTTCTTAAATAAAAATTTAAGCTATACCTGCGTGCTTGAAGATATGACAGTATTGTGGCTGGGGTCAATGCTGGTTAACAAAGTGTCCTGGTTAACAGAGTGCCGGATAACAAAGGTTTCACTGTACTCGTCCTGCTTTTAGGGGACATCGAGACTAGCTGACCACAGTTCTCTTCATAATAATCCTCAAATATGTGACGGACTGTTATCAGGTCCCCCCTAAGTCTCCTTTACTCAAAATTAAACATGCCAACTTTTTTCCTCCTAGGTTAGATTTTCTAAGCCTTTTCTCATTTTTGTTGTTGTCTGAACTCTAACCAGTTTGTCCGCATCTTTCCTAAAGTGCGGCACGCAGAGTTGTACACACTACTCCAGCTGAGTCTTTGCCAGCAGAGAGCAGACTGGGACAGTTCCCTCTTGTATCTTACATGCGTTACTCTTGTTATAAGCCTTTGATATAAGCCTTTTTTCCAACTGTCACATTGAATATGAGTCAATCTGAGATGAACAGTAATGTCCATATCCTCTTCAGCAGTTCTACATACTACCCAGTGTATTCCTCATTTTGTGGTTTTGCTTTTAATTTTTCCTTTCCAAGCCTAGTACTTTGCACTTGTCTTCTTTGAATTTTATCCTGTGGATTTCAAACTAGTTCTCTAATTTGTCAAGGTCATTTGATTCTAATCCTATACTTGTAAAATCTTACCATCCCTTGCATCATGGTGTTATCTGCATATTTTATAAGGATACTCTCCACTCCATTACCAAAGTCATTAATAAAAGTATTGAATAATATTTGACCCAGGATTGACCCCTGTGTTTCCCCATTAAATACACCTTTCCAATCCAATAACAAACCATTGCTAGCTACTCTGAGTAGTCTTTCAGCCAGTCACTTACATTACATTTTCCTAGTTTTCGTATGAGAATGTCATGGAGGACTATGTCAAAACCCTTACTAAAATCAAAATAGGTCATATCTATTGCTTCCTCTGATTCACTAGGCCACTAATGTTGACAAAGGAGAAAATTAGGTTCTTTTGGCACGATTTGTTGTTGACAAATCCGTGCTGGTAATTCCTTATATCTTTATTTTCCTCTAGGTCACGGGTGAAGAACCTAAGGCCCAGGGATTAGATATGCCCCTGGCTTGCCTGGATCTGGCCCCCGAGGCTCAGCAGTCCCCTCAGCATTAGGAAGCCTGGGCTAGCACTCCATCCTCCCCACCTCCTGCCCACCCTATTGTGGGGCTGGAGCACACAAAGTCTACTAGGCTGAGCCCCCATAGTCTCTGGTACGTGGGGAGTCTTCTCAGTTGGGAGCCACCTCAATGAAGGTTTGTTTGGTGGGGGGGAGAAGGGGAGGCTGCTTCCATTTATGTGCAGCCCCCAGGGGATTTTTCTGTGGGTTAGTGGCCACAGGCTCTGGGTGCTTACAGACCAATTATTGTGTGTCCTAAAAACATAGCAGTATTCAATTTAGCATGTTCATGTAAACTATAGCCTAAAACCAGCTAAATAATGCAGCTACACAGAAATTCTCTTCCTAAATACTTCAGAGGCATACAATATGCAAGAGGGGAGAAATGTGTTAGCCAAGTTTTAATATTTAAATAGAGTGTCTGTGATAAAGATACAAGATGGCTTTTGGGCTACACTGATGGGATTCTCAGTGGATGGTAGTGTCTGGAACCTGCAGTCTAGCCTTGCTCTGGTATTTCATATGAGAGAGATCACATAGTTAGAAACTTCCCTCACCATCCTGTGTTGCTCTCTTGCTCAACTTTACAATTCATTGCATGTTAACCAGCTAACCAACACTCCTTCAAATCTTATGAATATTTTAAAAGTACACCAAAAAATATTGTTCAAGAGAGCCTAACATGTAAAAAAAGCTTCTGGTGTACTCTGTCCATGCTGTTCTGTTTCCTAAAAGTTGGCATTAAGATGGTCCTGGTATCAAGTTGGGAAGAAGGGCAGTAAAAACCATGAATACAGTTTGAACGGTTTTAGTGCTGTCTTTCATTGTAACTTAGCACTTGAGAGTGTGATTGAATGTCCCTTATTAGAGTATCTTGATGATGACAGCTACCATGGGAATGCCTGTGCTGCCATAAAACACCTACAACTGGCCCATGTCGGCTGACTCAGGCTCACAAAACTCCGGCTGCAGGACTATAAAATTATAGTGTAGACCAGGGTAGGCAGTCATTTTTAAAAGGGGACCACTTCATAAATTTCTGAAGTGGCCCCAGGCTGCCCTGGTAGGGGCGGAGCCAGGAGACTTTGCGTGCTCCCCTGTCCACAGACCAGGATTGGCCTAGGGTTGGGGGTATGTGAAGTCTTCCTCCCTTCTCTCCTCTTCACCCCCGGTGCCTACAAAGAGTTGCCAGCTGTTTTAAAATGGCTGGTGGTTCCTTCTAGGCACTGCAGCAGGAGGAGACCTCATGCACTCCCTCTGCCCCCAAGCCAATTAGAGTCTGTGGACTGGGGCGCACAAGAAGTCTCTTGTCCCCTGGCACGGGGAGACTTCACGCGCTGCCCTGTCCCCAGGTCTTGATTGGCCTGAGAGCAGGAGAGTGGCAGGGCAGCTGTGAGCCAGATCCAGCAGCTTGGCTCCTTTGCTCACTCCTGGTGTAGACATCCAGGCTTAGTCTATACTGCAGGGTTTTTGCGCAAGAAGTCTTTTGCAGAAGAGTTCTTGCGCAGAAGCACGTCCAGACCTCAAGAGAGCATCCACGCTGTATGGATGCTCTTGCGCAAGAAAGCTCTGATTGCCATTCACAGAATGGCCATGAGAGCATCTGTGCTTTTTCCGATAGGGATTTCTTGTGCAAAAACCCTTCTGGAACGTCCACACATGCCTTTTTGCACAAGAGCTATAGCAAAAAAAGGAATTACTCCTCGTGGGAAGAGGAATAACTCTACTGCAAAAGGCCCTCTGTTCTGTCAATTTACTTGCGTAAAAACCGTATAGTGTAGACATAGCCATATTGTGTAAGTTATCTAG